CACACACACACATACACAATCCGTCTGAAGGGGGTCTTTGATGACCCCTCCGGCTAGCATGGTATCTCTTCCAGAATGGATCTTGTACCTCTTTGCATGAAGGCGTCTCCACGCCCACCTCTTCCATCACACCATCTCTAATGTACGTCATCCACTCATCGACTCATCCACGCGTCCACTTGTCCATCCATCTCATCTTCCTCCGCGTTTCACCTGCTCTAGACTGTAGTATCCCGCGAACCTGACCCACTCGGACGTTCTCATGTGCCGCCTTTGCCTTCTTGTTAGTTTTTATGTGACATTCACAAATACCCTTCCCTCTCACACATCCACTTGCCCACAATCACACACACACACCTACACGTTGTCAGTGCGCACATGTGCCGTCATCTTTCGGTATGCCTGCTTCATAATTGCAAAACATGACTGAACCATTAATCTGCCCAACGCAGCATGTGCCCACTCTTGCCTCGTCTCGTCTGCAGCCGAGCCTGAGCGAGGTGTGAAGGGGAAGAGGAAGAGTGGCGCTGTTAACCGCATGATTCAGAGCCCTAAAATCCTGCCTCTTTCCCTCGTTTGTTCTCTCTTTATCACTCTTTCTCTCCTCTCTTATGAACATTCTTCGGGAATCGGTCGCCTTCGCAACCGACTCTTTGAGCAAATGCCGACAAGCGTCGTCAGACCAAGAAGCCCTGCTCAAGCACAGGTCGTCTTGGCGCACAGTCGAAAAGAGGAATCTGCCGAAATCTTTAATTCACCTCATAACATGTTGTTCGTGATCGCTTTTTGTGTCAATATTGGGAGTCTAAGCCTCCTACAGGCAGTGGGAAAGATTGGGTTTCGGAGGCTCATTTCACGATTTGGTTCATTTCGAAGGAAAATTTGGTCGGAAGAAATTCGTGAGTTTGCATCATCGCAACTGGAAGAGGGAATGTCCGAGGGTGAACGCTTTGGCTCACTGCTCTTGCGACCCAGATTGGCCCGAGCTCAGCTTGCGGCCGCGACAGACGAAAGCTCAACACGGATTGATCTGAGTCGCGGGATCAGGAGCCGAGGAGTTGTTGGCACAATCAGACAGTCTTCCTTCACTTCCAGACAATCGTCTCTCACATTTTCATTGGAGCCAATCCACAAATCGCTCGCAACTAATTTTTCCTTTGAAGTGAAACCCGCTAAAGGGACCATTTAAACCGAGTTTTTCTTTATGCAGTTGACTTTCTTTTCGAACGGAAATGTGATGTTATTGCCAATAGACGACAGCGAGTTCCTTTTGGTCTGGTTCTGTTTGTAGGACCTTGAGGTAAAGCATAATTGCGATTGTTTTAACTCAAAATCAAAGTAATTCTCCACTTGATAGTTTGTTTGGCGGCGAGACATGAGAAATTCGTCCGTCTCCGAATAAGCCTGAAAAGAGTGTAAGGAAAAGCCGGTTGCGATGCGCCGTTTGGAGGCCGATGAAATGAAGAGAGGCCCATTTCGCTGGCATAAGATACAGTCGACTAAAATCCACAGTTGCAGACAAACAACTTCCTTGGGCCGTGAATAGTATTTTAAATAATAACTTTAATTATTTTAGAAATGGGCTTAACTCGTTGTCGCAACTTGGTCTTGTTGTCATGGTGACTCAGTAAATAACGCCTATTCCTTAGTCATCTGCCAGAGTAGTTGCCATGATTCCCAGCATCAGACAGTGGACTTGGTACATTCTCAGACGTTCGTAGTCGGCATCATCAGCGGGTGCTGCCATTCTCCGCACCAAGCTACGAACTCGTCAAAGATACCAACGTTTTACAGAAAACGGTTACACCATCAATTCTCTTACTGACCCTCTTAGCAAACTTGTCTCTTTGACGAGTTCGTAGATTGGTGTGGAGAATGTACCAAGTCCACTGTCAGATGCTGGGAAGCATGACAACTATTCTGCCAG